AACTCCACTCCAGCTCCTTACTGTCACAGGTAAGCCAAGCATCAGGGAGCCAGCCGGCTTCTTCCCATCAAAAATATATATCTACGTCAACAAACTTGACTTTTGGTATTTTATGCAAATGTTTCAAGTGTCACGGACTAAAATGGCAATTGAAACGCTAATGATGACATTTGGCAGGCCTAAGCAGCGGCCCAAGGAAAACAAAATAACAAACTAAAAACAAAACAGAGACGGAGACAGAGGAGAGTGAGAGAGATGGGAGGAGAGTCGTTGTGTGCCTTTCCGTTTCCTGTTGGCGCTGCGCTGAGAAAACATAACAAATCGTCTCTCTTCTTCTGCTGGCCCCGTTTTGTTTTCCTTTTTGAAGCGAAGTTTCCTTGTAGGCCTCTGGCATTTTTACGAGGCATTCAGCCAATTGACAGGCTTCAGTCGCTCGTAAAAACAAAATCAAGCAACGAAGAAAAATGATGCGCAGGCCGAAACGAACTGTCAATAGAGGGAGGGGAAGTGGGACAGTGACAGGAGCAGGGAAGGAAAGGAAAACGGAAAAGGAAACTATACAGCCGCTGGAATCGCCGAATCGCCTAAGAGTATACTTAAATATTTAAGAGCCAGCGCAGGACAGGGGCAAAAGTTTAAAAAACATTAAAACGCATTTAGCAGGCAGTTTTGGGTCTTACATACGAATGGAATGGAATCTGTTTGCCCCGCCCATAAATACTTATTATCGCTTATTTGAACTTGTGAATGCTGCCAGCAGCGATGCTTGTGATTTACTTTTATTTGAGCTGGCTTTTCCTTCGCTTTCCCTCGCTTTTCGCTCTTTTTCCCTCTCAATTTTGTGCGTGAGTTGTCTGTGCAGCTGTGTGTGTGTGTTTGTGTGCGAAAAAAATCGATTTTTATTTCGTCTCGCAGGGAAAAAAAGGTCAAAAACAATAAAAGCCTAAATACACATACGAGCCTTTGAACTGGCTTTGATAAAAGCAACGCAGTCTCCGAGAAGAGAAAAGCAAGAGCCAGAGAAAAGGAAGGTGCGGATGGGGGAAGGGGAAGGACGAGCTGGGGGGTAAGCCTCCAATCAATGGCTGTGCGTCGCTTTTGGTACGTGTGAATTTAAGCTGATTAAAGAATTGAGCTCCTCCTCTGCTCAGAGGACGGGAAAAAGATGAGGAAGGAAAAAGAAAAACGCAGAGAGGCAGAAATTGATGTCTGCTGTTAGGCGTAGATGCTGCCTCCGCTGGCTTGGCTTTATTTATGCCTTTTGTCTGGGCTCGAAGGCTTTGTTATTTGGGGCTTAGTGGCGAATATCCCAGCCTCCCGCGTATCCCGCGCATCCCGATTCCTTTTAATTTGCACCCCCAGAAGAAAGAAACACATGTGAAAGGAAGTCGCGGTCACAGCCGCAGCTGAAGACGAAGCCAATCATCATCGGCAGTCAATCTATATTACAAATTCAATTGAATTTGTCGCTCTTTATTCGCGCTAATCAAATTGCGAGGGCTGCCATAAAAATGTTGACACTAATAAGGTCGCCGTCAGGTGGCAGGGGCAGGTGGGGGAAAAAGTGAACTTCCGCTCGTCTACTTTGGCCTTTTATGGTCAGAGGCGGGAGAACTTTTGCCAATTGGCGGCGAATACAATTCAAATGCGTAATCAGGCGTAAAAGGCAGCGAGTCTGAGAGTGAATGTGAGTGGCAGCAAACGAAATGCGAAAAGTTTTTCGGGGAGCGACCAACACTGCGTATTATTATTATTAGTTTTTCGCCCAGAAACTTTTCGCAGGCCGCACACTATCCGGGAGGAGGGTTCTGTTTCATAGCTCATTGCTTTTCAATTTGATGAGACGTTGTCTATAATGAGGTCCCCGAAAGTTTTCCCTTCGGGAACCATTCTCCACCGATAAGTACCTTCTGTATGCGTATGCGTATGGGTTTTGTTAATTTTCGTGTGCCATTTATCATTGGGGGAGGATGCTGTGAAAAAATTTTTATGGAGTTGATTTTTAATCTTTTGCAATCATCCCCCACATATTCTCCGCAGGCAGAGGCCGAGGGCCGCAGGAAATGAATATTTATAAGTATGATGAATGAGGCGAGACGGGAAGTGGCTAAGGAGCGGCATCTGATTTACTGACGTGTGACAAGGAGTCAAGCGGGGAGACGAGCCGGGATGGATAAAGGTAAGGAAATTAATGCGTAGTTAGGAGCATAAATCTGGGCCGGGTTCCTCGCCAGCGTGCTCGGAAATGGCGGGATTTCGCAATTTATGTTTGTGTGTCCCGAGGACGAGGCTGAAACGGCTTCTTTTCGTACACCGGCGCAGGTATGAGTGATATTAATTTGACTTTAAGTCGCTGCCGCCTGCAGCAGACGAATATCAAACGTAACACGTCAACGTAACTGTAACCGTAAGCGAACGTATGCAATTTACGTGACATCATTACGTGTTAGACAAGTACAAATTACGCGAGGACCAAAGAGTGGGGAAGGAGTCGGAGCAAAGGCAGACGACAATATGAGTTTTGATAATGATGAAGCATGGTGTGTCCCTGTATATGTCTCTGTGTGTGTGTGGAATATCAAGATAAATAACTAAGCAAGGCAGCCAGTGTGTGTGTGTGTGTGGGAGTGTGTCCTGCCAATGAAATGAAAGTCATCAGACTTAGATATGGCACTGAAGATTGCAAATGCGACGAACATTGTCGGGACAGAGGACGGACACACAGGACTGAAGGACTGGAGGACAAAGGACAAGAGACAAAGGCAACAAATCGTACTCGAGTTCATGTAGGTTTTGGTCCTGGGCCTGGTCAAAGCGTAGACATGTCAACAATGCTGCTTCCCTCACTAAGTTAAAATTGATGAAGTTAGCAGGCCGAGATTGAGGAGCGGAAGGGTTCTGCGACGAAGGACTCGGGCTGAATCCCTTCCAAATCAGCACTTGTCAACACTAATAAATGTATTCATATCCCCCATCCCTTCGACCTTCGCACTTTGCCCGAATTTCATGCTTGATTTGAGTTTAAATAAATTAAATTTCTTTGTGCGGCTGAAAAATGCAAATGTCAGCGGGCAAGAACTTGCAGCAGCCTGCAGGAGCAGGACCCTGCTCTGGTTGAGGCCAAGACCGAGGCCGGCAATTAAACTTGTCCTTGTCTAATTGCATTTTGGCCCAAGCCAAAGCCAAAGCCGAAGATCCCCTCCTCATGCATACATACACACAAGGCACAAACAGTCCAAGTCAAAAGTCGCAGGACTCGCTGCTGAGTTGCCAAGTGCTGTGCTGATAGCGGCCCGAAAAAGTTTAGCGCTTTAATTTCTTAGAAATTTGTTCCGACTCGAGAGAGGCAAGTGGGCAAGGAGCGGCCAAACAAAGCAACTAACAAAAATGTCGACTTGATTGCGTCGCCGATGGTTTGGTTTGGCCTTTGCTCGGCCCTAGTGCTAGGCACTAGGTCCAGGTCCACAATTGTGCGGACAGATTGCCGGCAAGTTGAGTCGAGTGGAGTCGTCGACTCAGAGTCAAGTCGACTTGCTTCAAGTTTTCAATCCCCAGCGGATTAGAAAAGTTTAAATTGTTGCCGCCGAGCCAGCGAGTGGCTGCGAGAGAGACCAGAAAGAGGGCCAAAAGGAGCGCAGCAAAGCGAAATCGAAGCCGGAGCAGGAGCTGGAGCAGGAGCCGGAGCTGGAGAACGGATGAATGAAGGGAGCAACGTAACGATTAGTGCCTTCATGTCCTTTGCCAAAGTTTAAAGGTCATCCGGAGGAGGGTCCTAACTGACTGACTGGCTGGCTGGCTGGCTGGCTGCTGATTTGACACATCAACTTTGTCAAGGTTTTTGCCACAGCCACCAGCGACAGCAACTGTTATGAGCAATGGCTGTGTCCGTCCTCCGAGTCCTGGAAGCGAGGATGGAAGCGAGTGCACAAGCAATTTGTGCAATGGACGTTTTGGGCGCTCTGCAATTCTCTGCTCCGCAGTGATAAGCGCTGCCAGCTGCGAAATGTCTTAGGAGATTGCCGAGTGCACTGACTTCCAGTCCGACTCTGGCCCGGGGCAGTGCAGAGTTGATTGCGAAATGTGTAGCATACTTTTGTGCCACTGCACCCCTGGGCCGGAATGGAGGTCCTGGGGAGCTGCCAGGAGTGGGGAATAAGCCCAGCCAGGCAGCTGGGGGAGAAATATTGAAATTACTTTGAAGCTGCTGCATAATGAGGCTGTCAATAAGTTTATCAAAGCAACAACTACTCGAGCCGAGGAGAGCCACGGCTCTGACCCAAAAAACAAACTTGAAGTGCTGTGTAAATTATGCAAATCTTTATCATTCTTTTTCTGCCATGCGGGGCCGTTCGTGGGCGGGGGCTCTTTGGTCGATGGGCTGTCACAAACAAGCGTGAAGCACGACAACTGTGTGATGGGCCCAGTAAAACAATATGGCGCCCTGGCCATCGAGGCCTGTCCGCCGTCCGCCGTCCGCCGACCGTCGCGTCGCCCGCTCTTCTGGCCCATTTTCCAGGGCTGACTGCCATTGACAGTTCAACGTTGTTTTGCTCAACGCTTCCCCATTTCTCTGCCGTGTGCCCAAGTATTTTTTCGAGGTACGCTTTTCTTTTTTTTTGTGAAATGTCAAATTTTTGCAGACAGTTTTGACAGTTTATCGAAGTGCGCCCGTAATTTTTGCTGACGTGTGTTGTAGGTGTTGAAAATAGCAGAGAGAAAATAGCGATGCGGGCTTTGGGGATGAATGTGGATGGCTAGGACTAGGACTAGGGGAGGGACTGGAACTGGGACTGGGGGCTGGGGATAGAGAAAAACTTTAGCTGGCTCTGCACTTTTCGGCTGAGTGCTTTTGCACAAAAACTTTGCACAGAAGACGGGTCAAGTTTTTCCACAATTATTTGTTTTGGGTCACCTATGGTGAGCGAGTCCTCCTGATTTGTTGTGCGCAAATTGATTTTATGGCAGGGAGTCATAAATGAATATGGCAGGTGATTACTTACCGCTGCGACTTTCATTTTCAGCTGGCTTCAGCTGTAAAGCACGGTTCATCTGCAAGAGAGAAGAAGAGAGAGAAAGACGGGTCTTAAATAAAGTAATATCTGGCTAAGACGAGTGCTTGGCTGAAACAGATTTTGGCGTTAATGGTATTAGCAGGAAAGTCCATTAAATCGGTGGTTGCTGCCCCCTCAAATTCAATCAGCTTTCGTTTGGTGGCCAAGGACCTCTTCATAAACACCTCCCAAAACACATTTGGCCAGCGTAGCATTTTCAAGCATTTAAATGCCACTCAATATGCAAGCCCATCTCCTGTCGCTCCTGTCGCTCCTCCCAGCCTCCTCTCGGCCTCCTCTTGGCCTCCTCTTGGCCTCCTCTTCCGTCATCCCTGGCCATTTGGGCTCATTGCCTTTTACCCACGACTGGGCAGCCACATCCTGTGCCGCTTCATGCATCATTAAAGCTTAAATCTCACCCAAGCGACCCATGTCGATTCTGGCCAGCCAACACTTAACGTTCTCCCTCCTCACCCAACGCTCTCTCGCCCTCCGTTCATCCACTCCTCGCAGTGGTATCGGCAACGAGAGCGGGTTGGGCTGCGATGGTGGATATGGTTGTGGATGTGGATGTGGCTGGGGTTTGGGACGACTACGTGTTGTGGTCACCTTTCGGTTTATGGCAAATGAGTAATATGCCCGTGCCAGGGCAACGAAAAATCCCATTAAAAGACGTTCAAATGAAATGCATTAAAATAAAACTTAATTGAGGGCTTTGTACCGAATGCTCGAGTCGAGTGGCCCCCCTCCAGAAGACCGCAGAAACCCGAGCAAATCAATAATCAGCCAGAAGGAGAGACAGACCCTTTCGCTTGCTCTCGCAGGTGTAATTTATTTGCACCACACAGACATAGTTTGAAAGGGGCGGCTTCGAGCACGCCCCTGGGCTTCCTGGCCCCATCGTCCTTCCCGGCCCTATCCCGACCTTAGATTGGCTCATCAGCCGGGTCTGAATGCCTGGCCAGGCCCTGTCATTAGCCACCGCGCCGCTCGGAAGTCTGTCGTCTCATCGCCTGCCGCTTGTCGCATGAATATTTTATAATCAGCCATTAGTTTGCGGCAATTGAAAATGATTGAAGCTTTTAACTGCAAAATTCAATTGCTTTATATAACCAGAAGGGGCGGGGGGAGAGTGAGCCTTTCGGGCCCTCCCACAATATGAAATATTTAATGTCGTAGTCCCGGGATTCCCCCGCTGCCGCGTTTCCTGTGTGTTTTTTCGGAACAATCCATTAGTCAGGGGCGAGTAATTAAAATTGCGATTTATGCACGCGCATGGCGCAGAGCCGAGCTGGAAATTCGGGGCTCTGGCCGCGATTGGACTTGTTTGTAATTCAATTATGTTAATGATTGGACAACATTTACCGTATTTACATTAATGCATAATGAACGACTGCTGCCGCTGGAGCAGAAGCCACTCCTAAATGCCAACGAATGGCGAATGGTGTAGCGCGCTTTTGGCCAGGTTTTTTTTTTTTTAAATGCAATTGGGTCCCTAAGCAGGAGGAGGAGGAGAGGAGGTCCAGCGGCAATTAAGTGCATTTCTCTGTCTGACCAAAGGCATGCTGGAATCGCTCCCTTCATCGCTCTTGGCCAGACAACACACAAATGCGCTTTGGCTTGCTCAAAGCTCAGCTGGATAAATTAAGTGGTCGATGAACTGAAGCCGTGTGGATTTTATACCAATGCCAGAGCCATGTTGTTGTTGTTGACAGTGATGCGGGACAGGGCACTGTGACGCCGCAAAATTTAAACCAATGTTTAACCGAAAAATGTTCATTTAGTCGCACGTCCTCCGCCCCAGTGATGAATGATTGATGTGGCGTGGCTTAATAAATTGGAAAATGTTTTCAGCTCAAGCAGGGCGCTGTCTCAAAGGCAGAGCCCGACTAAGCATCATGCAGGTTATTCTCTCCAACGAAAGCTATCTATCCTTTCCCTGGGCAACTTCACTCCACTCCACTTCATTCTCGACATCTCTCTCTCCGTTTTTTGAAGGGTTTATCAATGGAAGCCCGCAGATGTGGCAGCCACGTCCATCGGGCGGCTTTGACTGCGGCTTCTGTCTGCAAAAACAACAAACAGAAATCAGTGCAGCAGGCTGCATGCACACATATTGATCAGGCATCCGATGCAGTGATGAAGCCCAGGCCCAGTCTCGCCAGCTTTCCGTTGGTTGGTTAATGAACTTCTGGCCATTTATGAGGCGGCTGCCAGCAGAGGAAAAAATGTGGGAAATTCACGAAAATATAACTTCGTTCGCACGGCAAAGCATTCTCCGGCAGCCACATGACTGCCGGCACAGCATCCCAACTAAGGCATCTCTGACTCTGCACAAAAGTCTGGCTAATTATTAGCGCCAGAAAGGTTTCCCCGCAGCATCCTCGCAGCCCCAGACGGCTCTTTTGGCCGCGTAATTAGCGCACATAATTTGAAATTTAAATGTTGCCAAAAGCCGAAGCCTTTGAGAGTCAAAATGTTAATTAAATCTGGCTCTCTTTTTCTCTCCCCCTTGTCCGACGCCCGCCGTTTGGAATCAAAAGATGCCTGCCTCGACACAATTAGCCTTCACGATTGCTTATGACAAAGTGTCCTCCGAGGACGACCCCAAGTCTGCAGGAGCAGGAGCAGGAGCAGGATACTGCAGCGACAGTTGAGAGTCGACAGGCGCCAGTGGCAACGTTAAACCGCAAATTTTAGCGCCAGAGCAAGTCGTGCATGGCGGACTAGGAGCGGGGGCATGATGGGGTCGAGACTAGCCGCAGTGTCGCCTACGCATATGCAATGCCCGAAAGTGCCAACTTGGCCAAGTGCTCTCTGGGCACTACCACTGGGTCCCAGCCTCCCAGCCTCCCCCCCTGTCAATGTGTGTGGGTGTGGGTGTGCGGCTGGGTGCATGGACCCATAAACTGCGTTAGTTTATGATGCCCGAGCGCTAAGTGAGCAAAGCGAAATTCGCAGAGAGCCAGCGACGGGGCAGGGGCAGGAGGAACAGGGACAGGGACAAGGATCCAGAGATCCAGTCAAGCCGTAAGTGCCTTCCCCAAATCCCCACCCCTCCGGCACTCCTCCAGCCCATCCTCGTGCAATTAGAATGCGGCGCATCGAACCAGCCGGAGCCGGAGCCGGAGCCGGAGCTGGAGCCTGAGCTTTCAGTTCTGTCCTGCTCCACTATGGTCAGTTGTTGTTTTTATGCATTCGCCGGTCGAACTACATAAAACGGAACAACGAAAATGCAATTAAAACTACGTTTTATGGCTTTGTTATGGCAGTCGTCCTCGCTCCCAGCTCGTCCTGCTGGCCTTCGCCTCTGCGGCGCACATGAAGAGCGATTTTTATGATGCTTTCTCCACTCGATGATGATGATAGTTTGGAAAATGGTTTCGAATTGAGTGGCCCGGCAACTTTTGTTGATAGAAAAGTAATATTTTATGGGGTTAGCCGGAGGGCAATCGGTGGTGTTGGGGTTTTTGGGTTTGCTTATTGAAAACGCCGCCGCTGCTTAGTTCGCTTCTTTTTCAACAAAAATCATTAAAGTTGTATGCAAAAGTTTATTCGAGCTGCCGCTCCTGCTGCCTGTGGAGGAAGTTCGATGGGGAAATTTGTCACTGGCAAGCACCTAATGGTAGACAATGTTGCCTCAAGCATCTGTCATGTGTGGCTGTCTAGGGTAAGGGTCGCTGGAGGTAAAATCAAAACAAACTAACGAGCTAGCAAGCAAAACAAAAGCTTGCTGCAGCAGCTCTCCGCTCTAACAACCTGCCATAACTGCAGCTTAATCAAAAGTTTTTCACTGCCACAGTTCCTGCAACATCTACAGCTGGCGGGCAACGAGGCATCTGAGCAACCGCAACCGTATCATCCACCGTGATACATGCTCCATGCTCTAGGCTCCCAGATCCTTGCTCCCCCATTCCCCCTTTTAGATACTAATCAGTGGCTGCTTCTTCCACTTTTTATGTTGTCTGGCCGAGCCACGTTCAATGGGGAAATATCTATATATTCTTTATGTATCTGTATGATGCATGAAATATGGCAGCCGTGTATATCGCCTGTTCCTGGTGGGAGTTTGCAATTAGCAAGTGGCAATTAAAGTTGGTTTGATCCTGGCATTGAACCTGGTCCCAGCAAGGCGTGGCAGAGAATGTTTATTGCTTCATATATTAACCGCTGACCAGACAACAGATTGGCTAAAGGGAAGGCTTCTAACAGGAGGTAAGAGAAAGGAAAAGGACATGAAGAACAAATGTTGGACATCGATAGCACTATAAAGATATCTGCCAATTTTGCTCAACATATTAATTAATATATTTAAAATTTCTAATAATAAAATATAAAACTAATCAATTAGGTTGATAGGAACTACCTTTACCATTCCATACTTTTCAGAGCTATAATAAGCATATAAATATCAGAGTTATCCATTATTTAAGATTACTTTACTGTTTCTTTTCGTTTGTAACGTCTTCCCCGCACCTGCGGACCACCTTGCCAGGCAGCAGGTGGCAGGAGGCATGAGGCATGCGGCATGCGGCATGCGGCATGCGGCAGGTGGCAGGCCAACCCAACTCAAAGCGTATTTCATTCAAGACACGACACTTGACTGTCGTGTGACACTTGAGTTCCTGCTCCTGTCCGTCAGTCGGCGGTAGCCCCCACCCCAGGCCCTGGTCTGGCACAAAATATGCAAATAAATTACTAATAACCTCAGAATGTAACCCTTGCACGGAAGCGACAGCGCCGGGAATGGGATGGGCTGCGGAAAATGGAAAATGGAGCGGGAGCTATTCCTGATTCATAATTCAAATTTTACGCCGTAATAAACAAAAATGCCTAAAATTATGCAACACAACGCCCATGAACATTGCTGAGCAAGTCATAAATTATGTAAATTTAATTTTACGCCCCCCCCACGCTCTATAAATATATATATATGTATGTATATACATATTAGTACATAAGTACGAATGGCCACGCCCACAGCCAAAGTCAACCACA